GGACTGGGCCGTGGACAGGGACTTGTCTTCAGGCTGGACCATGGTTCAGGTAGATCATATGTTTGTAACTTCACTACAGGGACTTGGACTGGGACTTGGACAGGGACTTGGACTGGGACTTGGACTGGGCCGTGGACAGGGACTTGTCTTCAGGCTGGACCATGGTTCAGGTAGATCATATGTTTGTAACTTCACTACAGGGACTTGGACTGGGACTTGGACAGGGACTTGGACTGGGACTTGGACTGGGACTTGGACTGGGACTTGGACAGGGACTTGTCTTCAGGCTGGACCATGGTTCAGGCAGATCATGTGTTTGTAACTTCACTATAGGGACTTGGACTGGGACTTGGACAGGGACTTGTCTTCAGGCTGGACCATGGTTCTGGTAGATCATATGTTTGTAACTTCACTACAGGGACTTGGACTGGGACTTGGACAGGGACTTGGACTGGGACTTGGACTGGGACTTGGACAGGGACTTGTCTTCAGGCTGGACCATGGTTCAGGCAGATCATGTGTTTGTAACTTCACTACATGAAGGTGGTTCAGTTCTGCTGTGTTCTGCAGGAACTGATGTGGACAACGACCCTGAAGACAACGGATACATGTAGGTCTCAGTTCTGCAGTCTGAGCTGAACCAGGTCCTGGTCTGATCCAGTCCTGTCCTCTGGTCTCTGCAGAATAGTGATTCCTGAACCGGATCCTGTTCCAGACAATCCAAGTCGAGCCTCGACGCCCAGTTCAGGTAGGATCCAGAGAAGCTGATCAGGTCTTTCACCAGTGCACGTACGTGCACGTATTTGTCCTGAGGTGGACTCTGAAGACAGGTTCTGAGGGACCTAAACCCCGTCATGGTGAAACATGCTGGATTTGGTTCTGGTCCTTGGGTCCAGTCTGGGTTCAGACATGTTGACCTTCAGTTGTGTCTGATGATGATCTGAGCATTTCCCGTTTCCTGTTTCCTGTTTCCTGTCCACAGACATGTCCACAGACCATCAGTACGTCAACATCGGAGGTGAGTTTATTTCTCCTCCTGAACTTTATTTTATTTTATTTCCTCGGCTTCATTCTTGTTTCTGTTTGGTTTCAGAAACAGAACTCAAACCTGAGACAGACTCAGAGTCTGAGTCCAGTAAGTTTGTGGTTCTGAACTTGTTTGAATCAGACTAATTCTGCTTGAGTCACTTTACCTGTGTTTACCTTGTTTTACCTGTGTTTACCTTGTTTTACCTGTGTTTACCTGTGTTTACCTTGTTTTACCTGTGTTTACCTTGTTTTACCTGTGTTTACCTTGTTTACCTGTGTTTACCTTGTTTTACCTGTATTTACACCTTGTTTTACCTGTGTTTACACCTTGTTTTACCTGTGTTTACACCTTGTTTTACCTGTGTTTACCTTGTTTACCTGTGTTTACCTTGTTTTACCTGTGTTTACCTTGTTTTACCTGTGTTTACACCTTGTTTTACCTGTGTTTATACCTTGTTTTACCTGTGTTTACACCTTGTTTTACCTGTGTTTACACCTTGTTTTACCTTGTTTACCTTGTTTTACCTGTATTTACACCTTGTTTTACCTGTGTTTACTTTGTTTTACCTGTGTTTACACCTTGTTTTACCTGTGTTTGCACCTTGTTTTACCTGTGTTTACACCTTGTTTTACCTGTGTTTACACCTTGTTTTACCTGTGTTTACACCTTGTTTTACCTGTGTTTACCTGTGTTTACCTTGTTTTACCTGTGTTTATGCCTTGTTTTACCTGTGTTTACCTGTGTTTACCGTGTTTTACCTGTGTTTACGCCTTGTTTTACCTGTGTTTACCTTGTTTTACCTGTGTTTTACCTGTGTTTACCTTGTTTTACCTGTGTTTACCTTGATTTACCTGTGTTTACACCTTGTTTTACCTGTGTTTACCTTGTTTTACCTGTGTTTACACGTGTTTTACCTGTGTTTACACCTTGTTTTACCTGTGTTTACACCTTGTTTTACCGGTGTTTACCGTGTTTTACCTGTGTTTACACCTTGTTTTACCTGTGTTTACACCTTGTTTTACCGGTGTTTACCTTTTTTACCTCCTGACAACAAAATGTTTGTTTCCCTCTCAGACTATCTGAATGTGGAGGACATGCACCATCAACGTGAGTTACACCTCCTGCATCCACGTTACACCTCCTCCATCCACGTTACACCTCCTCCATCCACGTTACACCTCCTCCATTAACATTACATGAGCACTATGCTAAAAACATCTGCCGGTCAGGTTTAAATGAAAAGTCTTAAAAGAACTAAAGGTCTGGATTAAAACCAGGCTAAATCCTTGATTAAAACCAGGCTAAATCCTGGATTAAAACC